ATGTCCACAATTGTACAGGAAATCTAAGGTGCTTTCTAAGATAGTCTAATATGTTTTTGTTGCAATACAATTCCATATCATTAATATATAGCCTATTTGTCGTTTGCTCATTTTCAACTCTAATCTTACTTGTCACTTCTGCTATAGCGTGTTGTTTTGTTAAATTCCAGATTTCCTCTAACTTCCTTTATATTTTGCTACGCGTTCACTTATTCTTTACATAGTTTTAAGATCGTCTCTATACAATGTAATTTTTATCATGCACATGTGTATGCGATATAAAACTTAATAAAATTATATTCAGTTCCTTTCCAGTTTTTCGATACAACTATGAAATACTAGACTGTAATATTAGACAGTAACTGATTAAAACTGCATAGATTTCTACTAGGGAACTTTGTAACTTTTCGTAACTTCTTACATTCCGCACGTATGAAATACTCCAAGACAATCTGGATATATTCGGATTTCATAAGTTTCTTCTCTTATTGTTGGCTATGATTTATGCGTAAAAATATTCGTTTTGAGAAAGCTAAGCAACATACAGATCAATGCTACGAATGTTTCAAATACGCGCGGAGGCATTTAAAAAACACGTTAGAATTTATACGAAACGTATGAAAATTTGTTTACAGAAATTAAAGAAATTGAAAATTTTTCAATAAGCCCTTGCGTTTATATGAAATACCTTTCTCTAGATTAGTGGCTGAAATGTTGTGAATAGACTTTTATCAATAACAAACAATGTTGTTTACAATTGTGCACTACTATCATAATATTTAATTGCTTACCTAGCTTCATTTATCCCAGAGTATGGAAAAATCACCTCGTTTTCATTTTTATTCAAAAGAGAGAAGTGTTCTATATGTAAAATATACTCCCCAGGGAACATATTATCAATAAAGATCAGATTCATCGTTTCATTTTCGGAACAATACACTACTTTCCACAGTATGTGTAGAGCATTCTCCTTACGACACTTCGGCTTTGCACCAGGTCTTATAATCATTGTGCACGCCATGTCTATTTCCAAATCATGTCCATGCAGAGTTATATTCGTCGTAGATTTTTTTATATTTATAGTGATATCGGTTTTGCCTAACAAGATGCTTTCCTTCGGTTTTATTTGAAGTGTAACATCATGTCTTATTGGCGCCACTTCATTGGTAGATATTTGCTCGAAAGGAACTGAGCAATTTGCATAATCTTCCAAAGCGATGGGATTAGCAACAGGAAACGCCATGGTAATAATGAAAAGTAGTTTTAAAGATGTCGCCTCCATTTTGGATATAAGTATCTACACAAAAGACATAACTATTAATTGAGAAACTTTTTAATATATTTAAAATATTCGTGATGATATTATTTTTAGTTTTGATTTCATAATGTGAGAAAGAAAGAAAACTTAAGAGAATGGATGGAAAGATGAAGGTATGTTTACCTGACATTTAAAGATAAATGTTCGTTATAAGAGGCACATCTTAATGATGTGCAAACTAACTTATTTTCTTTTCTCACAGACAGAACAAATAATTAACATTTCCTTAATTTTATCAAGCCTGAACTAAACACAAGGAAAAACAAAATTACGATTACTGTACTGTTGAAAGTTGTTAGATGGACTCTATTTTTATAAAGAAATTTTAAATTTAGTCAGTTATGACACATAGGAAGAATGAAAAAAACTTATTTGGTAATTATTTGGTTATATATATATATATATATATATATATATATATATATATATATATATATATATATATATATATATATACACAGGATGTTCCCAAAAGGTGGTACCAAATTTTAGGAGTATGTAGTACTCGTTAAAACAAACTAAAAACTCTTAATGAATAGTACTCCGAAAACCTTTTATTTCTGAGTTATGAAGCATTTTGTTCGGAAAAATAGAAAATAACTAAAATTTACAATAAATGTTCAATGTGTCCTCCGTCAACACACAATTTTGCTAAACATTCTTCTACTTAGCTGTCGGCAATTCGGATAAGTTGCATGATACAAGCGTGCTGCTTTTGAAGCATTGCCCTTTGCTCTGCCATACATAAAATGAATATCCGTCATTTCAGAATTTGTGTAAAAATTAGCCATTTTTCAGATAACACAAAACTACACGGTTCACAATCCAAAGTTGAATACAATTCCTACGTAATTAGGTGGTCACATACCGGCGTCCGTGAATTAACTGACTAAGAGACTTGGAAACTGTTGTCAACAAATACGAAATAAACCTGGACTCTTTGATCTTCAATGACGAAACATGCCGAAATGTGTATTGACATGAGCCGAAGGCACATTAAACATTTATTGTAGATTTAATTTATTTTCTATTTTTCATAGAACAAAATGCTTCATAACTCAAAAATAAAAGGTTTTCGGAATACTGTTTATTAAGAGTTTTTGGTTTGTTTTAACGAGTACTACATACCTCTAAAATTTGGTACCACCTTTTGGGAACACCCTGTATAATGTTACAGAATAAAAACTAAGCATTCTCCAGTATGTTACTTTGAGCGAATTTATATTGGAATAACCCTTACAGAAATATCATACTAAGAATCATTGATAATTACTTATTTTCAATATTAAAAATACTGGATAATAAGTAATTATCAATGATTCTTAGTATGATATTTCTATAAGGGAACACATTGAAATAAAATATAAAACTATATGTTTGAATTAAAATAAAAGAAATTTTCACATATATATATATGTATTGTTTTATATTTATTCAGAATATCTATTGTATAATAAAATCCGTGGGGAACATGTTTCTTGCTTTGATGTATTCGATTGCTTTTCTTTCCGAAGAAAAAAGTATTATCTAATATTGTCATATCTTACCTTCATGCGCGCATGACGAATCACCACATACTAAGGACAATAACAATTATTGATGTCGTTATATAGAGAGAAGTAGCCAAAAGCGACATAGGCCTCTTAAAGCGACATATTTGTATATCTCACATATTAAATGTTGTATTTTATCGAAACTAATATAAACATAATTGGTTTTATTAATTAAGTATCTACATAGAAGACATAACTATTAATTGAGAAACTTTTTAATGTATTTAAAATATTCGTGACGATATTATTTCTTAGTTTTGATTTCATAATATGAGAAAGAAAGAAAATTTAAGAGAATGGATGGAAAGATGAAGATATGTTTACCTGACATTTAAAGATAAGAGTCCGTTATAAGAGGCACATCTTGATGATGTGTAAACTATCTTATTTTTTTTCTCACAGACAGAACAAATAATTAATATTTCCTTAATTTTATCAAGCCTGGACTAAACACAAGGAAAAACAAAATTACGATTACTGTACTGTTGAAAGTTGTTAGATGAACTCAATTCTTGTAAAGAAATGTAATTTTAAATTTAGTCTGTTATGACACATAGGAAGAATGAAAAAAACTTATTAGGTAATTATTTGGTTATATATATATGTATATATATATATATGTTTTTTTTTAGCTAATTGCATGGCGGTGTAATTTATAATTACGTGAATATTTATTCATACTGGATGTAGAATCTACGTCTTCATGTCTGTTCCGTATTTCATATTTCCGGGAGTATGCGTATTTTATTCAGAATATCTATTGTATAATAAAACCCGTGGGGAACATGTTTCTTGCTTTGGTGTATTCGATTCTATTTCCGAAGAAAGAAAATATTAACTGATATTGTCATATCTTATCTTCACGCACGCATAACGAATCACCACATACTAACGACAATAACAATTATTGATGTGGTTATATAGAGAGAAGTAGCCAAAAGCGACATAGGCCTCCTAAAACGACATACCTCTATATCTCACATATCAAATGTTGTATTTTATCGAAACTAATATATACCTAATTGGTTTTATTAGTTAAGTCATGAAAAATTCGTACTTGGTGTATTTCTTGTTCTTGATCATAAGCTGCTGTACAGTGTTTAACATTTACTTTTTGTAAGGTAACTTGTAAACGTGATTTTTATTCCAAATGTTACTCTTAATAGATTATTTTACTACAGTCTTTAGAGCACGGCAATTGCGATTAAATTAGCGACAAGGGCTTGTGTATTCGGAAATATAAAAGTACGATTTTAGTTGTCATTTCCACCACGGGCCAAGAGATATCGTTTCTTCAACGTCCAATGCCGGTTCGATAACCTAACGCGTTGTGATTATCCTAATTAATCGCCTACAACGCGCGGGAAAAGAAATAATATTTTCCGCGGGAGACTTATACATTTGTCTTTTTTTAAGTACTCTCGCTTTTTCTTATATTTTATTATTTCTTCTGTCGGATCTTGCATGATATAAGTTACAAAAAAATACACATTAACTTTATGTTATAAATATTCTTCATATAATATACATAACATACAACATAAAAAAGCCCACTAGATTATAATTTCTAGAAATAGTGGTAAAAACTATATGTCAACTAGGTTATTAATATCACCATAAAACATCAATCATAAAACATTTTAAACTTCCTTCGCTGACTTGATATTTGACTTCGTCGTATTCCAATAAGTTTTTCAATGCTACTCCGCAGTTTATCACCAAAAAACTCCTTGGTTATGCGCATGTTTATCTAAAATATATTATATATATATACGTCGATCATCAGTAATAGGGTAAATATCCACTAAGGCCAATATAAAAACGATAATTCGCGGCATATTTTCATATTTTATATTAATTAATGTAGCTTAATATACATATCTCTTACTTAAATAAATAAATAACAGAGGCATAATTGTAAATTTTACCTTGCCGAATACTATGTCGCTATGTGAATTCATAACGATATCACCTATTAGAGTTAGATTATCGTGGGTACCAAATTCGTTGGGAAATCTATAAAATTATGATACATTACATTTAATCAAAATAGATATTACTGCATTTAATGATGATAAAAAGTATATTTTTCATGAAGAAAAATACCTGTCGATTATTTGGAAATAATTGTCCAAAAAGAAATTTAGCACTTTTTGCTTTTCGATATGTTTCTTAATAACAGAACGATATAATCTTCCCATTGGTAATTTTGATATATTGTTCTCATAGGTAATATTTGTTATCAATTCCAAATAATATATTAAGATATTTTCATTTTCTATACACATCAAGTGTTCTAAAATTTTTATATTTTCCTCTCTAATGCCTTGTTGCCAAATCAATTCCGAAACAGTCATATTTAGGTTCCCGGTACAGCATATCCGGTATGTCCACTGCGCGAATCTACGATATACATTAAAAGAAATAAGCATTTGTAACAAAAAATTAACCTTTCATTTCATTCTTCTATCATACAATTCATCAATCATGTTACGAGATATAACATATTAAATATTATTAGAAACATACAAATAGCAATTTTAAAAAATATTTACATGTTCTGTTCACTATTATATATATTCGCGATCAATTTTTCAGCAACGGCATTTCTGCATTCTTTGTTGCCAAATTCGCAAGCCCACTTTATTGCTAATAATCTTAACGGCATCGTCATTGTATTATCGGTTTCACGTTCTTCGTATCCCACTTTACGAAGAACTGAATTCAATATAATCTGGAAGTTTGTCTGGAATCCGTTACGTAACATGAATTTTACATAACATTGAACTCACTTAATATCTTGGAGTGAAATTTTGCTCGCAAATCAAGTAATAGTTGAGTCACTCAAATTCGAGTTACTTTTCATTCCTATAAAGTGAATTCTATAGGAATTCACACTCTATTCTGAGTTGTTGAGTTTTATATTTATGTGGTGAATATTTTCACTTGAAATTGTGGAATGGATCCGAAACTTTCCACTGTCAGTGAAAAATATTAACTCCATCGATTAATACGTTTATTCATCACAAATCCAAATCCTATCTGACTTTCAGTAAAGTGTTCACTCTTTTATTTATTTAGTTATTGCGAGCTGCAATATTTTCACTATTATCTCGACATTATTTGATATCACTTTTTACTCCAAGATATTTAGGGAATAAATATTATAGCAGATAAGTTCAAAATATCTGTGTTTAAATTTGCAAGTCAATTTGCTACATTCTTGCTTGATTTCTCGTCATTTTGCGACAACTGAGAGTATAAAGTAGCAACTAAAAAGTATTCGTTAACACTAGATTTACGGGACCCGTCAACATGACGGGTTTCGGACTTCACAAGCAAAATTACAGAAACTATTACTATTATTTTCTAGTAATTTTTGTCGACTTTTAATGAAATTATACGAATATATCCAAATTATTCATTTATTTCTCAGACTTTCAATTTTAAGATTCTCTATGTCGTATACCTATTTCTCTGGATAACCGTCAAATTATCCCGTAAATCTAGTGCTAAATTGGTTTTTCCTCACCTTCGTCGAATCGCCTATTGGAAGTTTTAAGAAAGCTGATATATACGAGAAAATATTAAACATTGGATACCATACTATGTAACTAATCTCGTTATTTAGAAACTTTATAAGTTTGAAGAAGATTCGAGAATCCATTTTCCCAACTGTTGTAAAGTAAAACGCATCATTGACAATCTGTGCTCGATTGAGAACTGGTATGGATGTAAAGGCGGCAGACTGTAAGTGAGTAGCAAGTAGTAACCAATTCCGGCTATCGTAATTAACTCGATAGTAACCTGTTGTAAAAGTAATTAACTATATAAGATATTTTGGAATTTGTATATCAAGAAGTGATTTTGAACGATATCATTGTACTTTTTATCAAATTACAAAATTTACAGTCTGTCAATTTTTAATAGGAAATTAACTGTTTATGATATACTTGCTGCGGAGAAAAATTTTACAATATTTTCATATACATATATAGGGTGGGCCATTTTAATTTATCCAGCCGAATATTTTGAAAATTTTACGGAAAAATAGTAAGATAAAAATTATTTGTTTTCTTCTGGTAGAGCTCTGAGAATTTTTCCAAAATTTTTAAATTAATTTGTTAGTATTTCAAGAAAATGCAAGGAAATGCAATACTAAAAAATTAATAAAAAATTCTGAAAAAATCTCAGAGTTCTATGGGAAGCAAGTAGACAATTTTTATCTCTTGCTATTTTTCAGTAAAATTAACAGAGTTCGAGTAAAAAATTATTGAAACCAATAATTTTGTAGATATTTCCGTAACTATCTTAGAAAATAAATGATACTTTATGTTATAACGTATATCACATAATTTTTCCCGTAAGTTATGTACTTGCACATATAGTATGTATAGTCAATATATAACCCAGAACCTCTTATGTACTATTCCGCAAATCCTACTATTTAGTAGAGTTAATAACGAAGCTCTAATTATTTTAAAGAAAATATGCAGAAACATACGAATTTATACATATCGTTAACCTGTCACAGAATGAAACACGAAATATTATAAGCTTATTAGTCTAGCTTACCGAATTGTTCCTTGTTGAATAAAAGAAAATTATTTGAGTCAAGAAAACTAATAGATTTGGTCTCATTTCCCTCACACCAAAAAACAGCATCATGTAATTGCATATCTGGCGTAAAGGTAAAGGATAAGTAAGTAAAGGGTATCTTAAAATTGGAGATGTTTTTAGAAAATGTTGCAGTGTTGCATTGCAACGTCGCTGTTTCGTCACTATAGTTACGAATAATGTGCATTTCTGGGTGGTGTGCTTCCGTTAAACATGAGTTCATTATTTCTTTTATTGCACGCAATCTTTTACTGTATATTTCAGGATATACTTCCTCAACAATTGTCCAGAAATTCACATTGCTGCCGAAACAATAATAATGAAAAGATAAATTTTTAATATTAATACTGTCTCTCTTCAAAGAAGAAACGTGGTAATGCTTAATTCAGTCAATCGTAAATGTATACATAATATAACTATGTATGTAACTATGTATGTAACATAACATAATGAAAAAGCTTGTGCAAATGGATCAGCTAATTATTTGATAAAAAATTAGATGTATATTTTCTTTTCTTAACATGTCCCGAATTATTAACAAGGAGATAAATTTGCGTAAGGTACTTTACTAATGATACAAAAGCTGAATACGCAATTTCAAGTAACATAAAATTTTTAATTAAAAAGCAATAAAAATACATATATAATATAAATGTAAGAAAGTATATGAGAATAAAAGTGTATATTTAGAATATTACCATAAATAAACTCACCGTGATTGTACATATCTCTTAATGATCTCATCAAACTCTTGCGGAGTGAACAAATAGACTAACATACGAATTAGGGCGAATGCTACAATAATTCAAACCGTAATGCATATAAAATTTAGATAATTTAGAATAATTAATTAACCTAATTGCATTTATTAAGTCTCTCGCTCACCTTTCTTGTGATACAGCAAAGGATAAAGTAAACCATCAATTCCATAATCGCTCTTAGATTTATGTATAATAGGTTTGAGCTCTAAATAAATGTCACTATCTAATGCAGTCTGTAGATTTTGGACTACGAACAGCTCCATCATTTGTTCTGTTAACCATATCTAAAAATAACAGATTTTATTATATGCTGGGAGATATGAGAGAAATAATAAAATAAATAAGCACTGCGTGACTATTTATGTTGCGCTTATGAGCGCTTAACTATTATTACAGGCTCAACATTGCGTTTTAACAGTTGAAGCAAATTCTCTTGCATTTTAGTAGTTCTTATTTGTTAAAATAACCTTTTCTACAATATAAAAACTGTAGAAGGACGCAAGTATCTCATCGAACCACTTGTCTTCAATGTTCAAATGCGAGTTCATTACACTGATGAACAATTGACGTGACATTTCATATGATACCAACTTCGCAATATCAATCATTTTTCCAGGAAAATCTACTCCTTTCTTGTACGTAACATCTTTTTCCCTGTAAATTGGAAAAAGCTGTTTTGATAAAAATTTCTTTAATGATAATTTTATTAGTGACAGCATCTTATCATAGTATCAACGTCTGCGTTTTAAGCATATGCAAAAACAAATAATGAAGTCGAGAAACATCGATTACATAGAGAAAAGGCGATTTGTATGTTTTGTCAAATAAACACTCACGATTACGCTTCTTGTATTTCTTGTACATACAAATTTTTTATAAAAATATGTGTTACAGTTTGTCTTGCATACCTGTAAGCAATTAGTCCAAATCGTCCCGCAGACTTCATTGGGCAAATTGGGAGTACGACATAGTTAATTTCATTTATGACTTCAGACAAAGTGATTTTTATGACCCGTTTGAAATGTAAGATAGTCTGAAGTGTAAATATTTGCATGTATTTAAGTGTTGCTGTCACATTCGATTCTTGCTGCAGAAGGTTCATGTCGTAGTTGGTATTTATCATCAAATCACGTTTATCGATAAACATAAACGAGAGAGAATTAATAGAAGTTTGGTAAACGTTTGAAAATAGCGTAGTTTGAGTGTTTCCTTTATTATATGAATGCTCTGTAGGTGTATTATGTATATTCAAGTAAGCTATATATGATTTATCATAATTCATTTTCATATGGAAGCTTTGTTTTGTTGTCGTTTCCCAGCTTGGAAATAGTCTTCGTACCGCGTTTGATGAATATAAGTTTGTGACGATCCACCTATCGCATTTGAAAAAGGAATCTTAGATAGGGTAAATTTTTTAACCGTGTTATAACCACAGATTTCTTTATACTATTAACTGTCAACTCCCTAGTTACAGCTGAGGCAAAAAGTGACGGCTATCTTTGTTAAGGCAATTTATGTTTTCACATACTAAATTTTGCCTTAACAAAGTTGGCTGCAACTGCTCACACTACGTTAAAATATTTTCTCACTTTTCTACAGGCTGATCGTAGAGAGTTAGCAGTCTAGTGGTATATAGAAGTCTGTAGTTGTAAACTAGTTACATGACTGATTGATGTACTTTCATAAAGATGGCATAGAAAAATATCTTACATTAAAAATATATATCACCATATCTTATATTATATAAACGTTATACAAAAATTTCAGCGCATCTCTGGTGAAAAATAATTTTTTATATTATCTTTGTAATTTTTAGAATCGTCTTGCGTTCTACACTCATGAAATATTCCAAAGCAATCTGGATATGTCCGTATTCCGTAAGTTTCTTCCCTTATCTTTCGTTATGATGTATACGGAAAAAAAGATTCGTTTCGAGAGAGCTGAGCAACATATAGATCAATGAAATGTTTAATTCTCGTCGGGATATCTAAGAAATACTTTGGAATCTATACGAAACATGTGAAAATTTGTTAGAGAAATTAGAAAAAGTTAAAATTTTTTAATAAACCCTTGCGATTATATGAAAAGCATTTTTCTCCAGATTAGCGACTGAAATGTTGTGAATAGACTTTCGTCAATAGCAAACAATGTTGTTTGCAATTGTGCACTCATAATATTTCCCTGTTAACTTACCTAGATTCATTATTCCAAGTGTATGGATAAATGATCTTGTTTTCATTATTATCCATAAGAAAAAAATGTTCTATATGTAAGATATACCGCCCAGGGAGTATGTAATCGGTAAAGATCAGGGTCGTAATCCCATTTTCGGAACAATATGTAATTCTCAATAGTTTAGATGCGGCATTCTCTTCACGACATTCCGGCTCTGTACCAGGTTTCATAATCATTGTGCACGCCATATCAATTTCCAAATTGTGTGCATGCAAACTTATATTCGTCGTAAGTAATTTTACTTGTATAGTGATATCGGTTTTGCCTGACAGAATGTTTCTCTCCGGTTTTATTTTAAGGGTAACATCATGTGATATTGGTGCCACTTGATCGGCAGACGTTTGCCCGCAAGTGTGCAAGTGCTTCATAAAATCTTCCCAAGTAGCATGATTAGCAGCAGGAAACATCATGGTAATAATGAAAAGTAGTTTTAAAGATGTTGTCTCCATTTTGGATACAAGCACCTACACAGAGGACATAATTGTAAACAATTTTTAAGTGAGAACAATTTTTAATGCATATAAAATGTTTATGACGATATTATTCTTCAATTTTGATTTTACCATATGAGAAAGAAAGAAGGCTTATCAGAATTGATCATAAGATGGTGGCAGGTTTATCTGACGTTTATCAAAAAAATCATTGCTCCATTAAAAGAAATACATCTTGCTGTACAGAATATATTGTTTGCATGTTTTCTCAAAACAAGTAATGAATATTTCCTCAATCTTATTAAACCTGGATTGACCTGAAGGGAAAACAAAATTACCACAACTCTTATATTTTAAAAGTTTTTAGTTGGACTAAATTACTGTATAGAAATGTAGTTTTAAATTTTGTCCATTATCACATATAGGAAGCATGAGAAAAACTTGTTTGATAATATATAAGCAATGGCGTAACCAGGGGAAGCTGAGAAGGCTATGACTCCTCCCTGAAAATTAATTTTCTGGGTTACGCAAAGTGTGAGAAAAATTTTTTCGTATAACCTTTTTTTGCTTGTCAAAAATAAAAATACAGTCTCCCCAAAACTTTTTCTGGTTACGCCACTGTATATAAAAAAAAGATTACTGAATAGAAACAAAACTCTCTAGTGTTACTTTGAACGAATTTATATTGGAAAAATATATTGATATAAAATATAAGACTATATATTTGAAATAAAGAGATAATATATAGAGATATAATAAGAAATAATAAGAGAGATATATATATATATATATATATATATATATATACAGAGTGTCCAAAAAGTACCAGAACGGCAAAATAACTCGGCGGGGGAGCATTTTAGAGAAAAATGTTTCGAATAGAAGTTGTAAGGCTTAAAAAGTCGCATTTAATGACAGTAGCTATTTGACCTAAGATGACGTCGCCAAGGTCAGGACAAGGTCAACTTTGCTTTTTTAAATAGAAATACATATTTTTTATTACGGCATTTTATTCTACGTGAAAAAGCAAACAATTTTTGCTT